TTTATGGTAGTCTCTCATGATCCTTTGTATTTCTGTGGCATCAGTTGTAAAGTCTCCCCTCTCATTTATACTTTATTCGAGTCTTCTGTTTTTATTCTTGGTTCTATTTAAGGATTTGTCAAAATGTTTATCTTTTCAGAAAACGAACTATTATTTTCACTGAATTTTTTCTATAATCTTTCTAGTTTCTATTTTATTTATTTCTGCTTTAATCTATATTATGTTCTCCCCTCTGCTAACATTGAGCTCAGTTTGTTCTTCTTTTTCTTGTTTGTTAAGATGTAAAGTTAGCTTGTTTATTTGAGATTTCTCTTTTTTCTTCATTTATCTATATAAACTTCCTTTTAGAATTGTTTTTGCTGTGTCCTTTAAGTTTTGATATGTTGAGTTTCCATATTTGTTTGTGTCCAATACTTTTTGATTTCCCTTTACATTTCTTCTTCGACCCATTAGGTTTTCAAGAGTATATTGTTTATATTGTTTAATTTTCACATATTTGTGAATTTTCCAATTTCCCGCCTGTTACTCATTTCTAGTTTCATACCATTGTGGTCAGAAAACATACTTGATATAATTTAAATCTTTTCATATTTATTAAGACTTCCTCTATGACCAACATATCATCTATTCTTGGAATGTTCCATGTATGCTTGAGAAAAAAAATTGTATTTTGGTTCTGTTAGATGTAATGTTATGTATGTGTTTGTTAGGTCCATTTGGTCTATACTATTATTAAAATCCACTGATTTCTTATTGATTTTCTATCTGCATAATCTATATAGTGTTGAAAGCACATTTTTTAATTACTCTGCTGTTACTGTATTTTTGTTTATTTCTTCTTTTATTCTGTTTATATTTGCTTTAAATATTTAAGTTCTCCAATGTTGGGTACACATATTTTGAAAATGCTTAAATCCTGTTGATCAATTGACCTTTTTTTTTTTTACTCTATAATAGTCTTTTTTGTTTCTTGTGGCTTATTTTAACTGAAAATATATATTATCATGGTATAATATACCAATACTCTTGCTCTCCTTTGGTTGCCATTTCTGTAAAATATCTTTTTCTTTCCCTTTACTTTCAGTTTATGTGTGTCTGTAAGTCAATCTCTTGCAAGGAGCATATTGTTGGTCTTGTTTTTTATCCAATCAGCCATTCTATGTCTTTTGATTGGCCAATTTAATCTATTTACATTTAAAGTACTTTTTAATAGATAAGAACTATGGAGAACTATTGCCATTTTGTTTATTAATTCTTGTTTTGTAGTTTTGTTTTGTTTTGCTTTTTTCCTTGCTTGGGGTCTTTTGAGTTTCATGTATCTGAATGTCCATATCCCTCTCAAGATCTAAAATCTTTTTAACTATTAATTCTTTAAATAAGATTTCTGCTCCTTTCTTGCTTTTCCTGGGACTCCTATGATTTGAATGTTAATTCACTGGATGTTGTTCCATGATTCATGTAGGCTTTTTTCATTCTTTTTGTTCCTCTAACTGGGTAATCTCAAATGACCTATCTTTGAGTTTTTGGATTTTTCTGCATGATTGAGTCTGTAATTGAGGTTTTTTATTAACTTTTTCAGTTCTGTTATTGTATTCTTCAGTTCCAGGATTTCTGTTCAGTTCTTGGTTATAATTTATATTTCTTTATTAAGCTCCTTTTTGTTCATGCATTATTTTCCTCATTTCATTTAGTTGTGTTCTCTGGCATTTCAATGAATTTCTTTAAGATTATTATTTTGATTTCTTTGTCAGACAGTTCATAGATTCCATGTATTTGGGGCCAATTACTGGAGCTTTTTCCCTTCTGTGGTGTCATATTTGCCTGACTCATCATGATCCGTGTAGGTTTGCATTTATGTGTACATTTGGAGAAGCAAATACTTCTTCTGGTCTTTAGATTGGGTTGGTTCTCTGGGTTGATGGGATTACCTCCAGAACTGAAATCAGGCTGGGTTGGAGTTGGGTCATGTGGCTATTGTTGCATCTGCAGTGGGGTCCCCTGTTGGTAGACCTGATACCAGAGGCTCAGCTGGGCATAGATCCTGTCATACCCTTGGGTGGATTGGGATGGCCTCCAGGATCCTGTTCTGTAAGGAAGACCCTGGACAAAGGTCCACTTTAAGATCCACAGTTTGGTCCACAGATAGCAGGCCTGTTGCCAGGTGCATGGATGTGTTTCTTTCCTGCCAGACCAGATCCTTAACAGAATTCCTGCCAGGTCACTGAGTGGATTTCTGAGCAGGCAGAACTGACTCGGGACTGTGGTTGATAGGGGATGGAATTGAGTTCCAGGGCTGCTTCTGGGTCTATAGTCTGGACTGAGGTCTACAGAGCTGGCCCCAGGAACAACAGACAAGTGTTTCTCTCACCATTTTCCTAGGCAGGCAGGAGTGCTCCCAGACTGCTATGGGTAGGGGCTGGAACCAAGTTACAGGGACTTTTCAGAATCTGCAGTTGGAGTACAGTCCATGGGACTCCCTCTGAGTGCATGTACAGCTGTAGCTCCTGGTGTGTTACTGAGAAGGCAAGACTGCTCATGGACTGCAGCTGGGAGGGGATGGATCTGAATCATAGGGCTGTTTCAAGAGCTGCTGTTGGACCAAATTCGGTTGGCCTGCCTCCAGGGGTACCAACAAGTGTGCTTACCAGTGGTTCCCTGGGCCCACAGGACTACACACATACTATGGATTGGAGTGACTGGAGCTGAATCATAAGGTTGCTTCAGCAACTGCTGTCAGACCAAGTTTGCTGGCTTGGCCCCAGGGGCACCAATGGGTATATCTCCCAGCAAAACCTTGGCAAACCAGGAATGCCCCCTGACCATAGCTGGGAGGAACTGGAACCAAGTTGCAAGCTGTTTCAGGATCTCTGTGGGTGCAGATAAGCATATTTCCCACCAGGTCTGTAGACTCTGGGGACTGCTCCTAGACTGCATCTGGAAGTGGCTTCAGCCATGTTTTAGGCTCATTTCAGAATCTTTGGAGGCACAAATGGGTGTGTCCACAGGTTCCTGGGACAACTACTCACAGACTACAGCTGGGAAGGGCTAGAACCCACTTATAGGGTTGATTCAGAAATTAAGTCTCATAATTTTTTGTTGAAAACTGAAGATTTTATTTTTTTTAATTTAAATTCATTACCAACATATAGTACATCATTAGTTTCAGATGAAGTGTTCAATAATTCATCAGTTGCGTATAACACTCAGTGCTCATCACATCCTGTACCCTCCTTAAGGCCCATCACCCAATTATCCCATCCCCCCCACCTCCCCTCCAGCAACCATCAGTTTGTTTCCCAAAGTCAGGAGTCTCCCATGGTTTGTATCCCTCTCTGATTTCTTCCCATACAGTTTTTCCTCCCTTCCCTTATGATCCTCTGCACTGTTTCTTATATTCCACACATGAAACTGTAAGATAATTACCTTTCTCTGAATGACTTATTTCATTTAGCATAATAAACTCCAGTTCCAGCCATGTCGATGTAAATGGTAGGTATTCATCCTTTCTGATGGCTGAGTAATATTCCATTATATGTATATACCATATCTTCTTTATGCATTCATCCATCAAAGGACATCTTGGCTCCTTCTACAGTTTGGTTATTGTGGACATTGCTGCTATGAACATTGGGGTGCAGGTGCCCCTTCATTTCACTACATGTGTATCTTTGGGGCAAATATCTACTAGCACAGTTGTTGGGTCCTAAGGTAGCTCTATTCCCAACTTCTTGAGGAATCTCCATAATGTTTCCCAGAGTGGCTGTACCAGCTTGCATTCTTACCAACAGTGTAAGAGGGTTCCCCTTTCTCCACATCCTCACCAACATTTGTTGTTCCCTGTCTTGTTAATTTTAGCCATTCTGACTGGTGTAAGGTGGTATCTCATTGTGGTTTTGATTTGTATTTCCCTGATGTCAAGTGATGTGGAGCATTTTCTCATGTCTCTGTTGGCCATTTGTATGTTTTCTTTGGAGAAGTGTCTGTTCATGTCTTCTGCCCATTTTTTAACTGGATTATTTGGGTTTTGGGTGTTGAGTTTGAGAATTTCTTTATAGATCTTGGGTATGAGACCTTTATCTGTTATGACATCTGCAAATATATTCTCCCATTCCTTAAGTTGCTTTTTAGTTTTGTTGACTGTTTCCTTTGTTGTGCAGAAGCTTTTTAACTTGATGAAGCCCCGATAGTTCATTTTTGCTTGTGTTTCCCTTGCCTTTGGAGACGTGTCTAGCAAGAAGTTGCTGTGGCTGAGGAAGAAGTTATTGCTGCCTGTGTTCTCCTCAAGGATTTTGATGGCTTCCTGTCTCATCTTTATGTCTTTCATCCATTTTGAGTTTATCTTTGTGTATGGTGTAAGAGAGTGGTCCAGTTTCATTCTTCTACATGTAGTTGTCCATTTTTCCCAGTACCATTTATTGAAGAGACTGTCTTTTTTCCATTGTATATTCTTTACTGCTTTGTCAAAGATTAGTTGACCATAGAACCCATTTCTGGGTTCTGTATTTTGTTCCATTGATCTATGTGTCTGTTTTTGTGTCAGTACCATGTTGTGTTGATGATCACAGCTTTGTAATATAGGTTGAAGTCAGGCATTGTGATGGCCCCAGCTTTGGTTTTCATTTTCAACATTCCTCTGGTTATTTGGGGTCTTTAATGGTTCTGTACAAATTTTAGGATTATTTGTTCCAGCTCTGTGAAAAATGTTGATGGTATTTTGATAGGGATTGCATTGAATGTGTAGATTGCTTTGGGTAACATAGACATTTTAATAATTCTCTTCCAATCCATGAGCATGGAAAGTTTTTCCATTTCTTTGTGTCTTCCTCAAATTCTTTTATAAGTGTTCTGTAGTTTCTAGAGTATAGATCCTTTACCTGTTTGGTTAGGTTTATTCCTAGCTATCTTATGGTTTTTGGTGCAATTGTAAATGGGATCGATTCCTTAATTTCTCTTTCTTCTGCTTCATTGTTAGTGTATCGAAACACAGCTGATTTCTGTACATTGATTTTGTATACTGCCATGTTGCTCAATTCCTGTATGAGTTCTAGAAATTTGGGGGTGGAGTCTTTTGGGTTTCCCACATAAAGTATCATGTCATCTGTGAAGAATGAGAATCTGACTTCTTCTTTGCCAATTTGAATGCCTTTTATTTCTTTTTGTTGTCTGATTGCTGAGGCTAGGACTTCTAGTATTATGTTGAACAACAGTAGTGAGAGTTGGCATCTCTGTCATGTTCCTGGCCTTAAGGAAATAGCTCTCAGTTTTTCCCCATTGAGAATGATATTCACTGTGGGCTTTTTGTGGATGGCTTTTATGATATTGAGGTATGTTCCCTGTATCCCTACACTGTGGAGAGTTTTAATGAAGAAAGGATGTTGTATTTTGTCAAAGGCTTTTTCTGTGTCAATTGAGAACATCATATGGTTTTCATCTTTTTTTTTATTATTAATGTGATCTATCACGTTGATTGATTTGTGAATGTTGAACCACTCTTGCAACCCAGGAACAAATCCCACTTGGTCAGGGTGAGCAATCCTTTTAATGTACTGTTGGATCCTATTGGCTAGTATCTTGTTGAATATTTTGGCATCCATGTTCATCAGGGATATTGTTCTGTAATTCTCCTTTCTGGTGGGGTCTTTGTCTGGTTTTGGGATCAAGGTAATGCTGGCCTCATAGAATGAGTTTGGAACTTTTCCTTCCATTTCTATTTTTTTAAACCACTTCAGGAGAATAGGTATATTTCTTCTTTAAATATTTGGTAGAATTCCCTGGGAAGCCATCTGGTCCTGGACTCTTGCTGTTTGGGAGGTTTTTGATTACTCCTTCAATTTCCTTGCTGGTTATGGGTCTATTCAGATTGTCTATTTCTTCCTGTTTTTGTTTTGCTAGTTTATAAGTTTCCAGGAATGCATCAATTTTTCCAGATTGCTTAATTTGTTGGCATATAGTTGCTTATAATATGTTTTTAAAATTTTCTGTATTTCCTTTGTGTTGGTTGTTATCTCTCCTCTTTCATTCATGATTTTAGTAATTTGGGTTTTTTTCTCTTTTCTTTTTAGTAAGTCTTGCTAGGGGTTTATCAATCTTACTAATTCTTTCAAAGAACCGAAAACTGAACTTTTAAATAATATAACATGGTAATTCTGAAAATCAGATCCCCTCCTTTCCCAGGATTTGATGTAATTGTTATTTAGTGACTTCTGGAATAATCCTGTAAAGTCTGTGTTCTATGTTGTATGTGAACACTGATGTCTCTGCTTGGATTAGCTTGGTTTTCAGTTAATGGTTCCACAAAGTTTTTCTTAAATGCTTTGAATCAATAAATTCCTCTCCCTTTGCCAAGAGATTTTTGTGTGCATGTTGGGATACCTTTCAACACTCAACCCTTACTTCTTGCTGCACAGAGCCTTAAAGTCAGCCAAAGATGAATGATTGGACCTTTTGGAGTCTTTCCTGATCACACACAGTCATGCACACGCACATATCCTCCAAGATCCTTGGGAATATGTAGAGCTTTTCATTGTCCCCTCTGCACATCTAGTTTTCAACTTTTACTTCTAAGATTTTGGTCAGGTTTTGTTTGTCCCAACTGTTATTATGACCTAAAGCAGCTGTGATGTTAAACAGTTGCCTCTAATTGCTTTTGATAAACATCTCTGGGGAAAAAAATTTGTTCACCATGCCCAAGCTTTAAGTCAGGTCAAATAAAGACAAGCCCTGTGAACCACGTTTTTCATGAAACTGCCAGAAAAATCAGATAATGATAATTATATGGGAATGAGACTTTGGAGGAGCTAGAAACTCATTCTGATCCCTCTATTTGCTTCTAGATTGCTACTTCTCATGGATACTGTGGTTGTGAAGTTGTTGGCATGTCAAGGCCACAGTTAATATGGGGAAGGAGATGAGAATAGGGCAAACTACATTTTCTGTTATTACCAAGGTTCAGCCAGGTAATTTTTGTTTCCTGTTTTGTTTTTGTTTTAGAATAAACACTCCTTGGATTATTGCAAGTCTTTGGTTAATTGTCAGAATTCTGGAAAAGTTTATTTGGCAATTTTTGTTAGTGTTCTTACTGCTTTTATTGACAAGCTACTTTGGAGGACCTTTCTCTACAATTATTGTTGATGTTACCTATAACTAGAATTTAAAGTTATGTGACTATCAAAAGATTTCATGTCATTAAGGTAATTACATGAACTTTTGAACATTTGTAAAGTTTTTGCCATTCATTGTTTTCACTATTTTTAATCTCTACTGTGTAAAAAAAAAAATGGTTTCCAAACAACTAGTATGAGTGTTGACTGAACTACAAAGTAAATTATAGACAGATTTTTAAGGAAATTACCACTAGATAATAAGTGACTCACAAGAAATAATTTTACCCAAGTCACCATTATTTAGACAAAATTATTTAGAAAAAAGTTAGGACATATATATATGTATGTTATATATATGTTAAATATATTATATATATATATAACATTTGACTTCATATCAATATATATATTGAAGTCAATATATATGACTTCATATATATGAAGTCAAATGTTTTTTATAACTTTCATAAGCTGAACATGATTGTAGACATCTATGAGTATGTCAAAGGCAACCATAGTTCAAAGACAAAGCATTTAATTAAATATTTATTGAAAATCCAACATATACATAGTAATAGGCAAAGTATTGGGATTGGGGAGGCAGAGATACAAACAATGAACGTGAATGGCTCTTACCTTTTGTTAAGCTCAGAGTCAGAAAACAGACTTGTAACAAATGAGGGAGGAAGAGAAATTGGAGAGGTAGAGGGGAGAGAATCCTGAATGCGAAAAACATTATTACTCACTAGTCTTGACCCTTGCATGCTCTATTACACCTTTATATCCTTTCCTATGCTATTCCATTGGCCCAGCACGTCTTCCACAATTTCCTTACCTTTTCCCCGATGAACTTTCAATGCAAACTCAAATTTTACTTTCCTTGCCTCAGCTAGCAGAACTACTTATTCTCTCCTTGGTATTCCCTTAGCATTTATAAAAAACTTTATGAGAGTATATTATATTGTTCTGTAGCCATTTACTTACATGTTTGTCGCACCTAGTAGAATGTGAGTACCTTATTGGGACTATGTAATATTTGTTTTAGAACCCTCAGCAACTAGAGCAGTACTGGCACAAAGTATGTAGAAAAAGAGTAAAAAATTAGAATTTCCTAACTTCAAAGATCCAAATTGTCACAGTGACTTTATAATATGGAAAAGCATCTTTTGTTTATCCTTCTAGTGGTAATGTCTAGGAATGAAAACCCAAGAGAAATACCACTTTGATATTATGTTTCAACAGCATGGTTGATAGTGAAGCAACCTACCAAGTTTGGGGGTATGAAAATAGGTTAGATGGATAACTATTTAGAACTTCACAGTTTATAAAAAGCTTTGACATATGTTTTGGATTTAATCTTTACAAAACCTTATGAAACAGGTACCATCATCTTTCTTATTTTACAGGTGAAGAAACTGGCTCAGAGATGTAATATAATTTGCCCAAGATCATAACTCGCCATAGTAAAGTTATGGGACTAGCCCTTATGTGCCTTCACTCTCATTCTACTACAGTTATTCCTGCTTATCTTTAAGTGATTCGTATCTCTCTGTACTATAACCAATAGTAACAATATCTTAAATTTATACAATTGTACATTAATAACATACTTTCAATGACCATTTACTTGTTTGTTCTTCATACCAGTCATCTCAGCAGACAGATAAGATTATCCCCATTTTCCAGGTTAGAAAACATACTCATGGGTGAGATGACTACATAAAGTCACACAGGAATTCAGGGAGAATCTTGGGAAAATGGCAGAGTACTCATGCCATCCCATGTTTACAACTAGATATCATCCACATCCAGGTAAATAAACCAGAGTGTGATAAACTCCACAACCTAATATAGAGAAGTTGTATCTCAAAGATTAGGAAGGTCAGAAAGTCAGAGGAAGGCTGCCTGAAAGAGGGAGGGAGGTGCATGTGTTAAGGCAGAGGAACTGGGTCCTTGCACCAGGGAGTTCACAAAGGGAAGACTAACCCCCATAACGTTTGGCTTTGAGGTGAAGAATTCCATTAGTTTGCATAACCAGTGGGACTTGGAGCCTAGAATTTTAAAAGTCAGCTGACTTAACACTGGGTGAGCCTGGAGGGTTAGTGATAGCTGGATTATCACCCTTAAAGAGACAACAACCTGCACAGAGAGGCAACATAAAAACTGCAGCTTACACAACATGGGGGGAGGAGGGGTGCAAAGGGGAGATAAATCTGTTCATACTGGTTTTGGAGCATGTTGGGGGACTTCTTTGAAAAAGAGGAAACTGGCAGGCATCATTTTCTTCCCCTGCCCCATAGCATAAACACAGAGCCACCTGCAAGCGGCAGGACTACACAGACACTTGTAGCCTCTACCCAGGTCTCAGGGCAAATTTTGTTAAACCTCTGTGTGTGCTCTGCCCAACCAGCAGGTGCATAGTTGCCACTACACACCCTGCCAAGCCACAGTGAAGCACCCAGCCAAGCATCCCCAGCCACTGTCACATGCCACACCCAAACACCTGGAGCACAGCTGTCAACATGCACTATGTCCAGGCACTGAGTGCACAACTACTGAGGCACCCCACACCCAGTTGCCATGCTATGTCCAGCCACGTGGTGCAAGCCACCATCATACACTGTGCCCAGCTGTGCTTAGCAATTATCACATGACTTGCTCAGCTTCACACCCCAGACAACCCTGGCATGCAGTCCCCAGCTGCTGGAGTGCTTCAGGTTATCCAGCATGGGACTAGTGCCCCAATGCAAATTTTGCTAACACAGTTGATCTGTTTTCAAGTTCCCCAGTAGGCATACCCCCTCAGAACTGGCCTGCTTGGGTCCCACTAATAACACAGAAAGCAAGCACAACCCACAAAAAAGAGAGTCGGTGCAGACAACTGCACAGAAAAGAAAACAGACTCAGACACAAC